CAATCTTATTATATATATGTACTGCTAATATATTTTCCTAGTCTGTTGTTTGCCTTTCATTTTCTTTTTTTTTCCTCTTCTTAAATATATATTTTTATTGACTTCAGAGAGGAAGGAAGAGGGAGAGAGAGTTAGAAACATCAATGAGAATCATTGTTCGGCTGCCTCCTGCACGCCCCCTACTGGGGATTGAGCTGCAAACCAGGCATGTGCCTGTGACTGGAATCAAACCCAGGACCCTTCAGTTCTCAAGCCAACGCTCTATCAACTGAGCCAAACCAGCTAGGGCAGCCTTTTCATTTTCTTAATGGTATCTTTTGAAGAGCAGACATTTTAAAATTTGATGTTTACTTTTATCAATTTTTCTTTTCTGGTTCATGTTTTTGTGTCTAATAGAAGAAATCTTTACCCAAAGGTAATGAAGATTTTCTCCTGTTCTCTTCCAGAAGATTTATAAATTTAGCTTTTACATTTAGGATTATGACATGAGTTACTTTTTTGTGTATACTGTGAGGTTCAATTATTTATTAATATTTGGTGAAGAATCTTTGTATGTATGTATATAAGGAGTATTGGTCTTGGTTTTCTTTTCTTGTAATATCTTTGTTAGCTTTTGGTATTTACAGTGATGCCAGCCTCATGCAATAAGTTGAGAAGGATTTTATCCTCCTGTGTTTCTACAAATTTGGTTTATTTTATAGAATTCACCATTAAAGTCATTGGAGCTTGGATTTCATTATGGGATAATTTTTAATTATAATTTTTACTTCCTTAATAGATATAAGGTTATTCAGATTTTCTAGTTCTTCCTGAGTCTGTTTTGGTAATTTGTGTCTTTCAAGGAATACTTTCCAATTTCTCTAAATTGTAGAATTTGTCGGTATAAAGTTATTCACAATATTCCCTTATTATCCTTTTCATACCTATAGGATCTATAGAAATGCCCTCTTTCCTTCCTGATATTGGTAATTTATGTTAATTGGTATCTTTTATCTCTTTTTTATCTTTATCAGTCTACCTATAGGTTTATCAATTCTGCTTATCTTTTCAAGGAGCTATTGATTTAATTGATTTTTCTTTATTGATAGTTTCTATTTTATTGATTTCTACTCTTCTAATATTTTATTCATCTTATTCAGGCTTAATCTGCTCTTCATTTTCTTATTTCTTAATGTGGAATCTTAGATTATTGATCTTAGATCTTATTTTAAAGCTATAAATTTCCCTCTAAGCACTTAGATATATCCCACAAATTCCAGTGATGTTTTCATTATTATTCAGTTCAAAATATTTTTAAATTTCCCTTACATTTACTTCTTTGACCCATGATCCATTTAGAGGTACATTATGTAATTTACTAATATTTGAGAATTTTCCAGGTATCTTTTTATTGATTTCTAATTTAATTCCATTTTGATGAGAGAACATACTTTGTATAACTTCAATTCTTCTGAATATACTAAGGCTTGTTTTATGGCTCAGAATGTGGTCTATCCTAGTGAATGTACCATGTCAATTTGAAAAACAAAGATGTATTCCAGTACTTTCAAGTCCAGTGCTTTAAAAATGTCAAGTAGGTGTAGTTGATTGGTAGTATTTGTCAGGTTTTCTATCTACTCAGTGATTTTTTTTGTCTACTTGTTCTATCAATTACTGAGTTAAAGAGTGTTGAAGTATACAACTCAAATTATGGTGTTCTGTATCATTTCAGTTGCATCTGCTTTTTTAAAACATGTATTTTGAGTCTCTACGAGAAGCAGACATTTAGGATTGTTGTCTTCTTGATGAATTGACCATTTTGCCATTATGAAACATCCTCCTTGTCCTCATAATACTGTTTGTCCTGCAGTCTAATTTGTTTAATTAACATAGTCACTCTAGCTTTCTTATAATTAGTTTTGTATGATATACCTTTCCCATCTTTTTATTTTTAACCTGTCTCTCTATTCTTTTTTTAAATATATTTTTATTGATTTCAGAGCGGAAGGAAGAGGTAGAGAGAGATAGAAACATCAATGATGAGACAGAATCATTGATCTGGTGCCTCCTGCATGTCCCACAGTGGGGATCGAGCCCACAACCCAGGCATGTGCCAGGACCGGGAATTGAATCGTGACCATTCATAGATCAACACTCAACCACCAAGGCATACCCGCCGAGATGTGTCTTTATTCTTAAAATGGGTTTCTTAGACTCAGTACATAGTTGGGTCTTGAATTTTTATGCAGCCTTTTAATTGGAGTATTTAGGCTACTTACATTCAATGTAATTTTGATGATTGTCTACCATGTTTATATTTGATATTGTAGTTGTGCCTCTTTTGGCAGTTGTTCCAGGTTGTATTATGATGAGTCTTTAACTTACTCCAATCTACCTTCAAGTAATATCAAATCACTATACATATAACATAGGTATCTTAGAAGCATATATCCATTTCACTCCTTCCATCCCTTGCGGCTATTGTCATACCTTATATAAATTCCATGATAGATTATTAATTTTGTTTTAAACAATCACTTAATTTTAAAAGAACATTTTAAATGAGAAACAAAGTTTGTTATATTTACCCCATACTTACTGCACTTATCTGGAACTCTTCATTACATTGTAGAGATCCAAGTTTCCATCTGGTGTCATTTTCCTTCAGCCTGAAAAACTTCCTTTAATATTTCCTGTAGTATAGGTCTGCTGGTGACAATTCTTTCAGTTTTTGTTCGTCTGAAAGAAAATGTATTTCACCTTCATTTCTTTTTGCTTTAATTTTTTAAAGATATTTTCATTGGAGATAGGATTTGAGTTTTTATTTTTTCTTTTGGCTCTTCAAAGATCTCATTCCATTGTCTTCTTGCTCGCATTTTTTTCTAATGAGACCTATGATATTTTTAAATCTGTGTTCTTCTGTATTAATATGTGTGTTTTTTTCTCTAGCTTCTTTTTAGATGTCCCTTCTACTATTGGTTTTCAGCAATTTGATAATAGTCATGGTGTGGTTTTCTTTTGTGGTTATCCCAATTAAGAGTTCATTGAGCTTCTATGTGTTTATAGTTTTCATCATAATTGAAAAATTTTAGTCATTATTTCTTAAGCTATTTTTCAGTCTATTCCTCTCTCTCCTTTCCTTTTGGAACTCCAATTACATGTATGTTAGTCTGTTTGATATTGTCCCACAGTTATCTCTCTTATCTTCAGGATTTTCTCATTCTCTTTTGCAGATTGGATAATTTCTATTGTTGTATCTTCAAATTCATTTGATCTTTTCTTCTGTAGTCTAATCTGCTACTAATCTCATCCAGTGAATTTCTCATTTCATATTCTATACTTTTCGGCTCCAGAAGTTCTAATTGGTTCTTTATGTCTTCAATTTTTCCTCATTATATTCATGTGTTACTTTCAATTGTTAACATATTTTCATAGCTGTTTAAAAGTCTTTGCCTGCTAAATTCTTTTTTTAAACATATTTTTATTGATTTCACAGAGGGAGAGGGAGAGAGAGAAACATCAATGATGAGAGAGAATCATGGATCAGCTGCCTCCTGCATGCCCCTGACTGGGGATCGAGCCCCAAAACCCAGGAATGTGCCCTGAGTGGGAATGGAACCGTGACTTCCTGGTTAATAGGTGATGCTCAACCACTGAGCCATGCTGGCTGGGCTAATTCTATAACCATCATTTCTGATTTTGTTTCTATTGAATGACTTCCTCCTGGTTATGAATCACGTCAGTGCTCCTAGGAATATTTAGTAATTTTGGGATGTCAGATACTATAATCATTATATTCTTGATTGCTTTGATTTTACTGTCTTCCTTCAGAGTGAAGTTTGTTTTGTCATGCATCTAAATTATTTGTGCATATTATTTTTCAACACTTGGTTTATAAGTTTTGTTAGATTGGATTCAGAGTACCCTTTACTCTAGGGCTACATTACCCCTATTACTAAGGTATGATGCTTCTGGGATCTCTACTACATACCCTGGGTGTTCAGCAATATCTTTCCACTTTTGCTGTAGGAACTCAAATGTCTCTCAGTCCTGTATGACTTTTGATAAGTTTTCAACTTATAGCACCTGAGTAATTGTTTTTTGCACAGCCTCATGTGTTTCTTTCAACACATGCACAGATTTATAGTAAGTGGAAGATAAAGGGACATTTATGCAGATTTGTGGAACTATTTCTCTGAGTAGCTTCCCCCTCCAGTATGTTGCTGTACAAATTCCTATTGCATAGGCCTCCCTGGGCTCCTATCTCTGTCTCAGCAATTCAACAAGACTGCATGCTCTGCTTGGGTTCCCTTTTACAATTCTATGGTCCAGACACTGGTTGCAAGAAAAAGGCCAGGCGAGTATAGGGCTCACTTTGTTGGTTCCCCTTTTCTCATGGATCACAGTCCTGTGCTACCTGTTCCCCAATACCTGAAAACACTTGTTTCATGTATTTTTTCCAGTTCCTATTTGTTTATAAGGTATGTGAGGCAGAAGGAAACAAGTTTTATACCAGTTACTCTCTAATGGACCATAGTGGAAGTCTCAAAGCCTCTTAATACTGAGTTAATTTAAGGGTCAAACTTTGGTAGGTTTCAAATGTTAAATGTGAAAAAAAACCTACCACAAATAGAAGAATATAGCAAGCAGTATAATGGTGCAGGGAGCAGAAAACAAAAGGAACAGAGATCTCTTCAGCTTTGACAGGTAGTAAACTCTCAGAAGAATATAAAGTGACTTAACCAATTTCAGGGGCAACGTATTGCTCATAACCAAAAGGTTAGAGATGTCACTTAAAAATATCAAATCAAGAACTCTAAAATCCAAAATAATGAAATAAAAAAATGAAAGCAGTCAGGTAAGAACTGATCTTGACAAAAGTGTCAGTTACCAGTCACACTGATATTTCTTTCTTTAAGTCCATGTCAAAAATAGCTCACTCCTCTTATTCTCCCTCCAAGTTTTTTTTTAAGTGAATGCAATCTGAACAAACTTAATTTACAACAGCTAAAGGTCTTGAGGAAGTTAACAATCATGAATGATATCTGATGTAAGTGTGCCTTTGTTTTTGCTATTTTTAAAGGGCTATTTTCCAACTATGACCATTTCAATGTAAGTAATCTTATGGCATAGCAATTTACCTCACTGCTATATTAGGTAACACTGAGTTTATCATATTCTCAATAGCCCAAGTCTTGTAATCACAGTGTCATATCTATAGATAGGCAGTTGACTAAGGACAGGAACTCCACATTAACTCAACCAGATATGCCATTACTTTATGATGGAAGAAATTTAAAAAATACTGTGATATGCGCCATTATATTATCATATCAAATTTTTTTTTAAAACTTCCCACTAACACATCAAGACAACACCATTATATAGTTCAATGTTCATAAAGTAAATTGAGTCAGCCTCTAATCTGGGAGGCAGAGATTGAGTCAACTTCTAATCTAGGAGGCATAAAACAATATATGCTTCCACAGAAAATGAGGATAGCAGTAAGCAAGCAAGTGCAGAACGAATGAGAAAAAAGACAAAACCCATGAATGACACTGGCTGAGTTTGGCTGAGAAACTGAGATAAATCAAATAGTGAAATGAGAAGGATAATTGCTTTACACTTCTCTTTAGGTAGTCCTATAAAACTGCCTACTTCAAAGCCTGTAACTTTGTGAACAAATGAAACGGAAGATAAACAAAAAGAACAAACTCCCTGGGAAGATAAAAAAGAACAATGCTGCCTAATCAACAAACATCAGTACAACTACTTCCTCTGTATATTTAAATGTTCTGATTTACAAAGCCTCCAGCTGAACTCCTAGGTACAAGGCAGACTACAAATTAGCTAAAGGTAATAGGGTCTGGAAGTGAGGGTGACCTACTCAGCTTCATCACATCAATACCATAAGAAAGTAAAATCTGCCACCTGAGCTATTGAATATGCTCATCCCTGAAAGCTGTTTCCCCTAGAATTCACCTAGTCCTCTTCTTTAAAATCAACAAGAACAACAACTCAAGCCTTTGCTTTTTAGATAACCCCCCCCCCCACACACACACACACAAAAAAAAAACCAACTTAAACTAGAACTGTCTCTTTATTTCCAGATCTGAAATGCACACACAAAAAGGGGGGAAATGTAATTCCCTACCAGGCTACCTCTCCCACCCCTTCTTGGCATTACACACTAACCAAGTTTCCAGGTGAAGATGCAGATATTGGGATTCTATATGTCTCAGTTGAATACTGCCATATTGATGAAAAATCTTTTTATTTGAAGTCTTTCAGTGACCAGCTTCATGCTATCAAACTTGCCCAGCATCTTCCCTCATTCTGTCAATGTAAACATACTACAAAAGTACCTCTTCTTAAAGAAATGAAACTGAGCAATGGAAAAGTTAAATCCAAATTGTTTCCTATAGGAATGCACTTCTCATTTTGTAATGTAAGACAGCAAAATTACAAAATAATTGTTTTACTTATAATTAACTACTTCTCAGATAGACTACAAAATTACATAATACTATATGTAAGTGTCTAACCCAATAAATGATTCACTAAATGGTAGCTCTCTATTTTTACCCCAAATCTGTCTGCAAAGATCAGTTTGAATTAGAAAAGTCTGTATTATAAAGTTTAAAATGAAACAAATGTAGTTTTATCACTTTGGGGTACATTCAAATTTACCAGCCCATCTCCCCCTTTCTCTACTCAGGTGGTACTTTAATAAATAAGTTAAACAATTTAACAGATGAGAATAACTGGTAATTAATATATCAGCCATGTAAATAGAAATTCAGGTACACCTAGAACAAAGGCAGTCTTCATCCATCTGGCTCGCATGAATGATCATCAATTCCAAAAATGGAAAAAGGAAGTATGATTGGAAAACAAATCAATAAGGATTCTACTGCTGAAATATGAAAACTCTCTAAAATAATTTTAAAGCACAAACGAAAAACTAACTCTACCTGCAAATAAGACAAAAATAATCATTTTTAAGTTACAATGGTATAAAAGAATGAAAGACATATAAAAGGAGCACTTTGCAAATGATCATAACAATATGTATATGTTTGTGTATATATGTGAATATACACTACTAAAAATAGCTAACTTTCATTGTATATTTATATTTACTATGTGCCAGACTTTTTTCAAGTGTTTACATGTAACAATTCTTTTTAAAAATATGTTTTTATTTTAGAGAGAAAGGAAGGGGAGTGGGGAGAGAGAAAGGGAGAGAGAGAGAGAGAAAGAGAGAAACATCTATGTGAGAAAGAAACATCCATCAGTTCCTTTCCATATGTGCCCTGACTGGGGACCAAACCCGCAACCAGGGCATGTGCCCTGAATAGGAATTGAACAGGCAACCTTCTGGTGCAGGGGACGACACTCAACCAACTGAGCCATATTGGCCAGGGCTACGTGTAATAATTCTTTTAAATTCCTTCTACAACCCTATGAAGTAGATACTATTATTATCCCCCATTTTACAAACAGGGAAACTGAGAATCAGAAAGGGCCGTTAACTTGTCAGTTGTCAAAAACTACTAAGTGGTGGGTCCATGATTTGGACCCAGGCATTGTGGCTCCAGAGCTAACTCTCTTTACTACATATTGTGAATGTGTGTGTTTCATATAAACCACGTGAAAAATAGTATTCCAATGTGGAATTGAATTATTGGCTTTAAAGAACACCTGGAAATCAGAACTAGCATAAATAAAATTGCCACTCAATATCATAAAAACTAAAATAAACAGAAGGTTAAAAACATAATACTTCACTAGAAAGAAGAAAAGCTCTAAAGATGAAAATCTGTAAAAAATGTTATATAATAATATAAAAGGACTGGGTATTAATAAAAAGAATCCCATTGAAAGAAAGGATCAAAACACTTATATAACATTTTTATTCACTATAAATATAATACATGTTCACTGTAAACAATTTTTATAAAATACAGAAAAATAGAAAGAAATAAAAATCACACATAATCTCACAACCCAAAGAAAATGAAAATTTACCATGTTTCCTGACAGTCTTTTTCTATGGAAATAGTTTCACATAGTCAAGATCATACTATATGGTTTTGTAGAGTTTATTTTTCAACTGAATAGCACAAAATTCTTTAAAAATATTTTAATGGCTCCATGATTATTTCATCATATGGGTGTATCATGATTTGGGGAATGATTTCTTTTTTTAAAATTGTGGGGAACATCTCTGTGCATTAAAATCTATCCAGATCTCAGATTTATTTTCTAAGGGATTTTAAACACATAATTATCAGATCAAAGTGTATGAACATTTTTTAAAACTCTTAATGCATTTTTCCAAATTGTTTTCCATAAAGACAGTGCCACTACAATAAAAAAATGGACTCTATTGAGTTAAAACTTCAAGAATATTTATTAACAATCATCATTTATAAATCATTTTAATTGCTGTCAGCTGCTTTAAATGTTCTTATTGTTAAACCAGTAAAACACCACAATGGAAACAAACTGTCTTAATTTAAGGTCAAACGGCAGTTATAGTTTAAAAATTAAACTCAAGTATATTTGCCTCATGGTACGAATGGCTTATTTCCAACTTGCAGACTCCTTGTTCTTCAGAACTTTTAAAACACTTATGTAAAAATAATTTATTGTACAGTCTTCGCCACAAAACAAGAAGCATCTGAGGAGGCTATTATATATTGTTTTCTAAAATAGCATACTAGAATTGATACTTTAAAATCCATCTATCTTCAATGTTCTTCACATAACACTATAAGGCAAGACGTCTTATTACATATCAAGGATAAAGGATAAACACAACTTTAAAGTAGATGTGAGATGGTTTCTCTAAAGGTGTTTTATACATAAAAGCCTTCCTCCCCAGTTTGAGTTTAAGTGCTTGGCCACATCCTTACAATCTAACTCTAAAAGCGTTGCTCACAACCATACAAGAAAGCAAGGTCTTAGTCCAAAGAATAGAAAGGAAGGTAGGAACTGCTAAGGGCTGTCAGAGACAATGTTCCTTTCCTGAGGAACAAGTTCCCAATAACTAACTCTTCTAGAGTCTATGAGAAGTCACTGGTAGCTATTGCAATTTTAGTACTTTCATGGCTTGGGCAAAATTTTTAAAGTGTTTTATTTGTTATTCACAGCACATATCACTACCCATTTGTTTATTGTCTAATCACCAGATTGTAAGTTTCAAAAAAAATCTGTCTTTGGCATGGCTGCATCACTAGTCCCTGGAACATAGTAAGGGCTAAATATGTTTTTGAATAAATGAAATAATTTAATCTAAAGATCTAATGATAATCACACAAAAGAGAATTTTGTTGTGGGTCTAGGCCAGCCGTGGGCAAACTATGGCCCGAGGGCCGGATCCGACCCGTTTGAAATGAATAAAACTAAAAAAAAAAAAAAAAGACCGTACCCTTTTATGTAATGACGTTTACTTTGAATTTATATTAGTTCACACAAACACTCCATCCATGCTTTTGTTCCGGCCCTCCGGTCCAGTTTAAGAACCATTGTGGCCCTCGAGTCAAAAAGTTTGCCCACCCCTGGACTAGGCCCAAGAAATACCATTTTTAAATGATTATGGGCATCTAACTGTGGCACACAGAAATTATATCAAAGGCATAAACAGCTTTTTCAGGCCCCTAGGTAGAGTGTGAAACTCTTAAACTTGAGAGATATCTCTTAGGGAGATAAAATTCTTGAGAATAAAAATCAGGGGGAAATATGAGAAATGTTTTATTCTTAGAATTCTAGTGACTGGGTAAATCATGTACCAGAACCTCAGAGTTCAAATCAATGCAGTATAGTAGGATAAAAGTCCTGAAATAGGGTGGCACAGGAATAGAAATAGGGATGGGGCATCCAAAGATACAGGCCCAAGGCTCAACTCTACCATTTATTAGAAGACCATGAAAGAGTCATCTAATTCCCTTCATCTTCAGACATGGATATGCAAGATAGGGACAAGTGCACTCTCTGCTTGATGGACTGCTACAGGGATCCAAGGATAACAGTCATTTAAAAGGTCCTGGAAACTGCCAATTATAATGCCATATCAATAAAGGTGTAATTATTAATATCATCATTTTTGGCCAATAAGACCTCTACTTTAAGTAGCCCCTCAATAATTGTTGATTTCCTTCCTTGGATACCTGGGAGAAGTAGAATACTCTGGGTATTATAATTTAGTATGAGAATTTGTTATAATAAGTATTATAACACAGGTGCTTCTTGAAAGAACCATATAAGATAATTCCATTATCTAGGGAAATGTAAGATTCTGGTGCAATGGGTGCCTTGCTCAATCAAATGGTTCAGGACTTTAAGAACATTAAGTAGGAAAATGAGAGTTAATATTCAATAAGAACATAATATGAGTCAAATACAATTAGGTGCTTTCACATGCATTTTACTCTTCATAGCAACATTATTAAAAAGGGTTATTACAGATGAGAAAACTGAGGCTAAGAGGTTGGTTTACTTAAGCCTTAGACACTGCTTGTATAGAGCAGACCTGACATTATCAATAATGTTATCTAACTCCAAAGCCACAGAAAAGATTTATCCTCTCCAGATATGAGTGAGCTTGCATACCATTTCTTTTTTGGTGTTATTTCAGTCATTTTTGTGGTTGATATATGGTTTTAAAAAACACTGGTTCACTCTATACCCAGTAAGAAAATTCTGAATTCACAGGGAAAAGGTGATTCTTAATCTAGGTAAAGTAGTTAAATCTGGCCCCCTAAGTGTAGGTAGGTAGAAGAGACATAACCATTAAGTATTCACTGGACAACTATTTTAAAATTTTCTTAAGTAAACCCAGGATATCCTTGGCAAGGAGAAAAGTTATCTTTTAGTATTCCCAATCTGATAAATATCCTCTGGTTTGGGAATTTATAGCGAGGTGACTAACGAAGCCAGTCATCCCAAAAAAAGTATAGGTAGGCCAGAAGAAATGCTCTTCCTGGAAACACCCAGAGAAATACCTGGTAAGAGTCCCTTTAACCTCTCCAGGAACAGAACAACAGAGAAAATGTTTAATCAAAACAGAGTAAAACTGGATATCAAGGAAATGGTTCTAGAGGCAGGAGGGTTCCAAAGAAAAGCCAATTAAATCATGTCAGGGCAGATCCAGAGCAAAAAAGAGTAAGTCATCAAAGTTCAGAGCTCAAAATCTGAGGGCAACAGATAAGTACAGCTGGGAATAACGTCACTGTCAAATGTCTAGAATTTTTCCAGGTCTGGTCAACACAACTACAAGCAACGTTTGCTTTTGTGTTGCTCTAATAGACTTTTGGAAAGCAGAAAGTATCCTTAGACTGCAAGAATCTGGGAATCTTCTTTAAAGAAACCCAATATCAAGGTAGCTAGGGAGTCATGTGGATTCCTTTACTGCCACCCCTTTCTGGAAAAATTTGCCAGCTGGCAAGAAGACAGAATCTTAAAATGTCACTGATAGTTATAAGGTGAAGGCAGTGGCCATGAATGGTAGGCTCACAGGCCCAATCCTTGGTCTATATTCTTCTCAAGCCATCAGATACCAAGGAATGTGACCCAGGTAGAGTCAGAAGACAAAATTAGCCTACCCTTCAAATTCCTCTGAACCTGTATCTATATTGGGTGGGGGGAGGTTGAGGTGGAGAGGAGGGAAATAGTCATAGAGAAAGTATGCAATCAAGCTTGGCCAAGGCCACAGAAAGTGCCAAGGAATAAGTTGCCCAGAGGTCAGCATGAAAATTCATGGAGTTCTCCCAAAGCAGTCATCACCAGTGATGGCAACAGAGATTGGAAATGAGAAAAGCCAACCCTACTCTCTTCACATCCTTTAAGTCTTAGACTAAATAGTAGCTTCTCAAAGAGACTTTCTCTCAACCTATCTAAAGTAGAGAATAGCAACTCAGTTATTCTCAATGTTGATCTATGTTTACTTATCCCAAATAAAATTAGTTTATGCCTCTATTTCCCCCACTAAACTATAAGCTTTATGAGAACAAAAACCTGTCTGCCCATTTCACTATTATATCCCCAACGCTTAGCAGAGTACCTAAAACACAGCTAATTGCTGAATAATAACTTGTTGAATAGAAAACAATCAGTCAATAACAATGGTTCTTAAGAGTGTGGTCCCTGTACCAGCAACATTCGGGTCACCTGGGTACTTGTTGGAAATTCAAATTCAGGCCCACCCCAGAGCTACTGAATCAGAAACTCTGGGAGTAGGGCCAGCAATCTGTGTTTTAACAAGATCTCAAGGTGAGTTCCATACATGCAGAAGTTTGAGGACCACTGGTAAATAATAGGATATGTAAAAATTCACCTACCAAGAGTACAAAAACATACATTTCCTGGTGGCAGGAAATATAAAGATTAAGGTTCTTTTCTAATAATGGTTTGGAATGCTTGGTCAGGTTATCCACAATTCTGAGTTTGGTATGCACACAACTAATACCTTATCTGGAATGTAGCAAAGATTTCCAAATGGAGACTACTAAGTAGAGATCTTGAACAATGTATTTAATCTTTCTAAGCATGTTTCCTTATCTATGAGAAGGGAATAGTACCAAAATTCACAGGTTGTAAGGATTAAATGAGATTTTAAAAAATAACCCAAGTTCTAGTACATGGTTAACAACAAATGGTAGTGGTGGTGCTGCTTCTCATTAAATTTGTTTTGGAGACATGTGAAGATGAGTAGCTCACAGGAACAGTTTTCAGCCTCCAAGAAGCCATGAGAAGAAAGAAAGTATGCTAACTTTCAAAAGGGTATCACCCAAATGCTAGGATACAAGTAGCTTTGTGAGCATGTAAAGGTACACCATTTGCTGGCCTCTGAAGCAAAGAGATGTCAAAGAAAAGAAGTTAACCCATGAAGGGTTAAATTAAGGAGAGGAAACAAGATTGGAACATAGAGGTTGCTGGAATTATTGAGAATTGCTGGCAGTGAGAATGGCAAGGTTGAAAGAACAAGGCTATGCTATGATGGCCTCTTCTCTGTTTACAAGACAGAAGTCTTTATATGTCTGGTATCTATATTTTCCAAACCAAAAATTGGCACAGTCTGATGAACATGAGTATACTTATGGACACAATGGGACAAACTGAAATCAGGTCTGTCCTGGGAAATCCTAAATATATGGTTACTGTCTGGAAATGGTCTATTTTTAAAAGAACCCAACACCAGCATGGCTAAAGAACTGCATAGAGTTTCACAATAACCTTATACAGGCTCTGGTTATGACTCACCCTGTATGATGTAGGCTGGATGGGCACATGACTCCTAAAAATTTAGAGCATGTATGAAAAGTTACTTAGGGTCATCTCTTTCTATTCATTCCACCAGTTCCTTCTGGCTTTATAAACGCAGTGGCCAAAATCTAGAGCTCTTAACAAAAGATCATTAGGCTTACCCTGAGTATCCTAGATTAGCTACTACTGTCTTGTAATACCAGTTCAAGAGTCATTTTGGACTATTTGATTGCCCTTCATGGTAAGGAGGGACACAAGGTCCTTCAATACTAAATCATGTTCATGACCGAGCCACATGCGGCTCTTTGGCCCCTTGAGTGTGGCTCTCCTCAGCCTTAGGAGTACCCTAATTAAGTTAATAACAATGTACCTACCTAAATAGTTTAAGTTTAAAAAATTTGGCTCTCAAAAGAAATTTCAATCGTTGTACTGTTGATATTTGGCTCTGTTGACTAATGAGTTTGCCGACCACTGGTAGGGCATGACTTAATATTCTTGAGATCAAATGGACAGCTAAGCAGAATTTTATAAACACTAGTTATAAAAATGGGGCTGGTTAAAAGAGTTAATGCCACTGAATCTGTCAGTTATGAAACTACTGGTATCAAGTTAGTAAAAACTAGGTGAGTTTGAATAACTTCTCTTTCTGGTGAAAGTAGCAGGTTTAAGAAAGACAGAAGAGCCTGACTGGCATGGCTCAGAGGTTGAGTGTTGACCTATGAACCAGGAGGTCACAGTTTGATTCCTGGACAGAGCACATGCCCAGGATGCCAGCTTGATTCCCCCATTGGGGGTGCAGGAGGCAGCCAACCAATGATTCTCTCTCATCATTTGTTTCTATCTCTCTCTCCCTCTCCCTTCCTCTCTGAAATCAATAAAAAAAGAAAGATACAAGAATTCTATCTATTAGAATTTAAGAGTAGGATGCCAAAAGAGGTGGATGAAGAATAATGCAGCTCTTATTGTGGTGTCAATTTTCCTCCCAGGGATGCATTTTACAAATAAAAATCAAAATGCAGAGACACACTAACTGGTGCAGTCATCTAATGTGACTGAGATTGAGGAGGCGTTGCTGAATCAGAGGATCATCCACTTCAGGGAAATTGTTATGCCTCCAGACCTAGTTGAATAAAAACTTTAAAATCATTCTGGTTTCCTCTCCAACTCTAGAAAAGAAAGGCCACGTTATTGTTGTAGTTGGAGAGAACACATACAACCACAGGGCCTGCCAGAGTGACAGTAATTAGCGTGACTTGCTCTAATTTGAATCTGGAGCACTTCACACCTCCTTAGGTAACCAAGGGCTCCCTGGTTTCCTGGCTGTCCTCATTCCAGAGAAGAAATTAGTGTGTATATTGCTGCTCAGAATTCTTTACCTCAAATTGCACTTCAATCTCACACATTACTGGTCTACATGGCACTGTGCAGTATGGGTTAGAGCTGAGAATACCAAGCCCTTGGAGGAATGTCTGTTATCTGGAGATGAGTCAGAACTAGCTATTCAGGGCATACAGTTGTATGGATTAAGACAGACTACAAAGAAACAGGTTTTCCTTCTCCTAGATTTTTCTTAATAGAAGAATGGGTTAGAGATTGTACAGGGCCATCCAACAAGTATAAATAAGATGAAAAGCTAAACTGTAGTGGATAGGGTCAATTTAGTACAACAAACAATTATGAAGCACCTTTACTACTATATGATATACACTAGGGATTGGAAATGAAAAAGACCATCCCTACTCATTCGTAGCTTCTAGTTTAGTAAGCAAAGGAGAGAAACATACAAATAGAATTTAATATAAAGCAGAAAATGATAAGAAAATAGCTACAAATGAGGAGTTATGGGGCACAGAGGAAAGCCACTTAATGTGGAAGTTAAGGAAAGCAAAAAAGGAGAGGACCATGACTAGCTCAATGTCTGTGGCTTGGAGCCACCAGATAGTATAAATCAAAGATAGAATAAAATAAAGGGAGGAAGCTAGAAAGCTCCTGGTCAAAGAGCCCAAAGGGCACCATTGCTTTTGGACATTTTAGATGGCAAAGACTTTGATAGTTGTGGAGAATTCTCTCTCAGCACAATACCCACTCATACACCCACCCACCCACATATATACCCTTATAGAAGTTTTGATTTGGTGGAGAAACAGGGAGGAGAAGGAAGTGTATAAAATACACAGCAGGATGTATATCACACAAGTTCTCAGTTTTTGATTTCTTCCCACAAGCTCTATCAGAATTTCATACGTCAGATTGTATATTCTCTAGATTTGAAAAAACAAACAAACAGAGACCTCCAAAGTATACCTTGGAGGCAA